AGAAAGCAGCACCTTACCTTACCAGGCAGCCTCCTCCGATTGCACACACTCTAACTGCTGGAGCAAAAGAGCTACAAAGAAGCAGCCTCTTCGCCATCAACAGTTAGCAATTTGAATTCCCCCCTCCTTTTCCCCTGCCTTTTACTGTACATAACTGGAAGCTCCAGCCGCAAGTCGAAACAAAATTTTGTGGCCTGAGCTGGTCGTAACGTGAAATGGTCGTATGTCGGGACATTTGTAACTCAAGGCACCACTGTACTCTAACAAAGCTAAATGTGGTGCTCCAGAATATAATAAGAATAAATAATAAGAATGAAATAAAGTGTTACAAATATTTATAATAATAAATATAAAATTAATACAGAAGTATTGCAAAAGTAAACTAAGTTAGGAAAAATAACTCTCGATTAAGTCAAATTGATGTACCTTGTTTCCCCCAAAATAAGACCTAAGCTGAAAATAAGCCCTAGTGTGATATTTCAGGATGCTCGTAATAGAAGCCCTACCCCCAAAATAAGCCCCCACTGAGTGAAACCCGGCCCTCCACCCTTGTGCAGGAACCAGGACATGACATGGCTGCATTTGAATAAATGTGGATGGTTGTACATGACAAAAATTAAACATCCACTGAAAATATTGGAGCAAAAATTAATATAAGACCCTGTCTTATTTTCAGGGAAACAGGGTAAGTATCTTAATAAACTGTGTAATTAATAGACAAAAGCACAATCAGTTATAAGATAACATCAGCATATGCTAACAATTCTTCACCCCACCCAGCAGTGTTTTCTCCCCTGTAACAATGCTCCCTTTTCATCCCTTACTCTTTGTCCCAGTTATCTTTTCTGGCTGTTATTTATACTTTTATTTCTCCCTGCACCTGCAATTGTCAGTAAGTTACAGGGGCTGGGTAGATGATCAACATTTTTTTTAAAATGGAAATTCCTGTTTTTACTGCCATGGCAAAATATGGCTCCTTGTAAATTAGAATCTGGCACGTTGCCCTCATAACAGATCAGTTATGAGATCATAACAGATCATAACAGATTATTTTGACTAACAGAGCTTCCCATTTGCTAGGCAAGAAGCTGCCCAGAGACGGAGTTACTGAAGGAATAAATTAGGGGCAGAGCAATTTACTGGGTTTGCAAACACCACCTGCTGGTCATCTTAATACATTGCAAAGTTTTACATCTTAATGCAAACCAATTCTTTCAATATCCTTTCAATACAATAATTCATGAAACAATAAATCTTGACACGCCCCCACCCCCCGTGGTTGCGGGTGTGACTTGAAGGTTTTTCAGCAATCACTCCTAATTTCCCAAGGAGGGTGGGTGACCCAGGAGACATCTTGAAATAACTGGAGGTGTACAATCACAGACAGTAGAAGGTGTGCCGGATATGGTACCTCGACCCTGCTTTTCCTGCTGTTACTCTTCTTCGTCTTGTCCTTGTGGCTGCTGTTCCTCCGGCTGTTGGCTCGTTCCAGGAGGCAAGCCTGGGGATTCAGGTTGAGATTCATGTTCGTACTGATGGGCCCAATCGTGAACAATTCGGCGTACGTGTATCTGTTGAAAGTTAGTCAAACAAGGACAAAGTTCCATCGGCGCACACTCTCTCTGGTGGATGGCAAGCCTCCGGGTGATGTTGCCCAGATGAAAACATTTCAGCTTGCTCTTGGGTTTCTTTGGACTTTCTGCACAATGAAAAAGGATCAGTTTTTTGCACTTGTAATGAATCCAACCCGGGATCCAAGTCTGGCTTCCTCCCACGCGTTTTTTACGGAGAGAATAGATGAATCTTCCAGCTTCGCCGTGCCGGTTAATGAAGTCCGTGCCCATCACATAAATCAAAGCGGCTGCGTATTCCTCTTGTTCCTTGGACGTCATTGGAGGATTTGTGCCAGCAGAAGACGGAGGGCTAGGCGATGGCGTTCCGTCCGGCTCTTGAGGGCCATGTTCCACATCTGGACTCTCTGACCTGACCCCTACGGGATGCAAATTATTTGTTAATAGCAGTTCACCTCCTCTAAAGGAAACAAGAAATGAGGATATCAGGCCAAACAGAAAAGAAAGAAGAAGAAATAAAGAAAAAGACAAACACCTTGTGGCACCTTGAAAACTAACTGCTATGTTTCAATGCAAGCTTTCATCGGTCAGATACACTTCCTCAGACAGACTTGTCCATGAAGGCTTACATTAAAATCGAGCTGTTGATCTTTAAGGTGCCGAATCTTTTTGTCTTTTTTTTTCTTAGTTTTTTGGCCTGATATGCTGGTAGAGACTAACATGGCTCTCTCTTCTAAAATGAGAAGAAATTAGAGGTGAGGGGCTATCTTTAAGGTTTCATCCTCATGAGCCAGAATGGGGGCATCTTGGGGGAGCCCAGACCCATTTTGTTGCAGAATCTGTAGAGCATGAGACCTATTAAGGTCATTATTAGAGATGGGCCTGACTCAAGTGTCCCAACTGCGTACAAAGTGCACCTGGCATGACCCCACCAGTGCTGCACA